CTTGGCTTCTATAGCTAACTAGTGTGGCTGCTGGGATTGAAGGTGCGAGCCACCACTGCCTGGTCTGTATGGCTGATCAGTATGGCTGTTTTACTCTCTGATCTTCAGACAAGTTTTATTTATTAAAATACAAATGAAATATCACTACAACATATTAGTGATATGTCAATGCCTTTTAATATAGATCAACTTGTATGTCCTTAAGGGAAAATTTACTCTATCTGCACACATCAAGTGATTCTGATTAGTGTTTTGTTTCTCTCCTTTACCTAGTCAGCAAGTTCGTTAACTAAATTGTCACAAACATTAGTAGCTTTATTAAACTGGTCAGGTTAAATGAGAGAAAGCAGCACCTGAAATAAAGACCAGAGATGGTCTCCTACAGCTCAATCTGGACTCAACTTGCCAAGTAGCTGGGGATGACCTTGAACTCCTGCCTCCACTTCCACCAGAGTTCTGGTGTTTACAAGCAAGCACCACCACACCTGGCTTAGACAGATAAATACATTTTTTAATAAGGAGTAAGGAAGAGAAGGAAGGAGAGAGGGAGAGGGGAAGGGGAGAGAGAGCCTGCGAGCAGCCAGGTATAATAGGACACACCTTCAATCCCAGCACTCAGGAGGCAAAGGCAGGCAGAGCTCTGAGTTCGAGGTCAACCATGTCTACAGAGCTATTCCAGGTCAGCCAGTACTACACAGAAGCCCTGTCTTGAGGAGGAAAAAAAAAGTAACTTTCACGTGGGTAGCAATTCCCTCTGACTTGTTCATTGCCCTACCCTGTTTTCTTTTTTTTAGAAGTTGTCTGGCACATAGTAGGCCCTCAATATAACTTGGTGCATAAACAGACTGCTGATAAAAAAATGTTTTAGTTCATCTCTGTGTTCTGCTTCAGGATGGCAAACAGAACCCATCTGTGGAATGCACTAACGCCAACCTTACAGTCTGATTCTGGTGAAGGCTCCAGACCTCAGGATTACAAACAGAAAAATAAGAGCAAACCTATGTGCAGGACACTGCCGGCTCATCAAGCCCGTGCCTGGCAAGTATCAAGGGCAGGAAGGCAAGCATGAGACATGACTGCTGCTGTGACGACTCGGAGTGCTTTGACACCAACAATAACAAGTCTGCCTTTCCGGTAAATCCATCAAAATTAAATCTTAAAACTTCTGTGAAAACTAGTATGTTTATTGTGTGCTTTCAAGCTTAGAGGCTCAACTGTGTGTGGGTAGGACTATAATTATGACCAATTACTTTTGGCTTGAAGGCACTTAAAAAGCATCTGTCCTTTTAAACAATCTAAAACAAACAAACAAACAGGCTTAAGGGAGTAAAACTTACCTCATACAGGACAATAAATTACAGGTTGGGGGGCTCATTTTTGACTCTTCCTTGGAAGGAAAATAGGATTTCCAAAAATCGCCAAAAAACAAAGAAACAAACAAACAAACAAAACAAAAAACCCTCTTACCCCCCCCCCCCCCCCCCCCCCCCCCCCGCCCTACGGGGCGCGGGCCCCGGGGGGAGGAAGGCTCGGCAGTGAAAAATAAAAACAGGAAGGAAAACAAAAGGAAATGGAGATGGTGGCTTGTGAGGATGACATCATTGGCTATGACACTGGGGACATTTCACTAATCTCATGTAGAGCCTGCCAATTGCCTTTGCTAACAAATTCAGGGTATGGGTACCCAAGCATTGGTCCTTGTTGTCTAAGTTTCCTCGGAGATTAAAACATTCCATTCTCCAGGAAGCTTCTTAAGCAACAACTCGGAGCAGCTTCAGAAAGTCCTTGAAACTGACCAGATTCACCTGGCACCTTCCTGCCTTCAAAGCTGAGAGTCTGTCTCAGAAGGGCAGAGTCATGCTGCAAAGATCTCCCTCAGTGAAGCTGAGTTGCAAAGATTCTGAGACCGGCTGAGGCATCTCCATTCTCCAACCTGTTGAGTCACCTGCAGGTGTGCAGTGTGCTCCAGGTTCCCAGGTTTGTGAGCTTCAGCGATGCAGCTGTCTGTGAGTCACTTCTGCTCCTGTTCCTGTAAGCACCCCGCACTCATATTTCTGTAAGTACGTTGGACTTTGTTGGTGTTTGTCCTTTGTTCTGCAGGGGGCTTCCTATCTGGGATGAGCAGACGAGTGAGACTTGCCATAACAATCCAGAGTGTCCAACACCAATCTGATTTGTTTGGTAAAAATGTCAGATAATGATACTGGGGACCCAATAATCTCTGACGTGTTCATGTACCTGAAGTGACTTTACATTTAGAGGACTTTCGCCTACGTTCACTTTATCCTCGTAACTATAAGTAGGTAGGGTCATAAAGGTAAAAACAAACTTAGCAAACATCTTTTCTTTTTACTTATGAGTAGATTCTAGTTATGGAGTCAACTAAAACTGTCAAAGGACACACCAATTTCATGAGGATAAAACAGGAGATGGGATGACCTCACCAGCATTACAGAACAGCCTTCTTCTGATTCAAGAATTTATAATGGATTGCACTCAGTAAATAAGCCATGCAAGGGTGCTTGTTTAGCAGCTCTTCATTGGAAGAACTTTGTTTGTATATATGATAATCACTCTTAAGTGGACCCTCCACAGGTAACAGAGAAAATAAATTTGATATTAAATTCTCATGTTGGAATTCATCCTTTGGTACAGCCTCACTCCTCTAGGATAGTAACTGAGCGTCAACATGAGCCACCCTTTGCTCTCCATTTTATTACAGACCTCTTCTCTCTCTCTCTCCACACACACACACACACACACACACGGTAGCCTATTGCTTTTAAGTAAATTCTGACTTTCTAGCGAACTCATTCTCCCAAATCTCATTCTTGTACCTTTGCCACACCCCAACCCCATACCTCTGCCACACAGCTAAAGCATAGGGATAATGGGGTCCTATCTTTCCAATGTCTTTTTACTTATTTATATACTATGATTCACTGCTGCATTCTGGCCTGAGTCTGACTGTATTGGGAACCAAGCACTACAAAAACCTCCCAGGATTTTGTAGACTCAGAGTCTGTAGAAGGCTTGGTATTTCAAAGGTCAGTCTTGGGTCTCTCCATTTTGATGACTAATGTTAAATTGCTTGACTTTCTAAAAAATATTTGGCTGTTCTTATTTACATAATTTCATCCTCAGGACACATAGTTAAGTACATAGTTGTTGCACCAAATCCCCACAGGAATGAGAAGACAAGATGAAGACCCCAAGATCATGATTCTCCTACACACAGAGTTGAGTAAGACTGGTAAATCATCACCTAACTTGTAGAAAGGTCTGTGCATTTCCCTTTTAACTCTGAGCTATGCATTTGTTTAACAACCGGGAAACCCCAGCACGCCCGAGAAAACACCATTATCCTCACCGCCTACGCTGGCACTTCACAGGAGAGCTGGTTAAGAATGCCTCCCCACCACTTGCACAAGTCTTCCAGAGAAAACAGGTTTTAGAATCTAAGAATTATCACAGTGTAAATTCACATCTGATCCCTTGGGAGGGGCTGTCTAAGTTAGACCATACCAGTCCTCAGACCCTGAATGATACAGACAATCAGTTAAGAGTTTTAAAAGGGCTTTTCATACACACCCTGCCCCCCATCCTTCCCTCCAACTCCTCTTCCTTTCTCTTTTCAGTCAGGGTCCTTTTTTAACACAGGCTGGCCTTGAACTATGTTTCCAGTACTCAGCCTTAGAAGATTTTTTTTTCAAACAATGTTTAACACTAGGCATCATTATTGAAACTTCTTAGACTATCAGAAGTCATTATTCTACGTCTTTAAAAAAAAGAGCTACCACTATGCTTGTAATCGGCAAACATACTCTTACACATTTCAACATTTTCTTAAACTTTCTATTAGGCTCCACCCTTCAAGTTTCCTTCTAATTGCCTCTCTCACTCTCAAAAATTCACCCACAGACGGCAAAAGTAAGTAAGGGCTTGAGGGACATTTCTAGATTGAGGTCTGGTTTTGTCCCTAAAAGACACCCAACTCACCCAACCCAGGACCCTTGGGTCAAGCAATGGAGCGAAAGCACTTGTGAGTTATTTGGTTGCAGGGAAGCCATAGCAGGTCTCCTTTTCTGCTCCTCTGTCAAGGTCACCGGTTCTATGGGCAAAACTCGATTCTGATTGTGGGTGGTTCACCAGCCTCCCCTTGCCAGCACCTTTCCAGATCGACAGCCAGGGCTCCCGGCTCACCTGACCACGTTGGGGTGCTCAAAGGTCTCCAGGTGCCTCAGCACCGCCACCTCGCGGATGGTGGAGAGCGGCATGCCCTCCTCTCCGGTCTGCACTCGCACGCGTTTCAGAGCCACGAAGCGGCCGCCGTTCTTCAGGTCGCGGGCCTTGAACACCTTCCCATAGGCGCCCTCGCCGATCTCCGCCACGCACTCATACTGCTGGTCGGCACGGCTCAGGCTGTCCTTCTCCATACTGGCTGGACGCTGCCGGTGTAGCACAGAGGGTCCGGAGTGTGCGCTAGCTGCTTGGACGCCTCGGGGACGCCCCGAGTCGGACTCGCGGTCGCCGGGCAGGACAGGGCGACCTCCTCGCCGGCGAGCCAAAGCCGGGCGCAGCCGCCGCGAAACTCCGCCTAGCCGAGTGGCCGCGCCGCCGCCGCTGGAGAGTGCCGATCCCTCCTCTTCCCCCTCCGCAGTGAACACTTAGTCTGCCCACAATCTCTGCACCTAGGAGGAGACGGGAGGACAAGGAGAAAGTGCGATCACACAGCCCTGGAGACTTCCACCGGCTTCCACCAGCTCCCCTCCTCCCCTCCGTTCACCCGGGCCCTCCACCCAGCTGCCTAATCTTGCTGGGTTTCTCGGAGAAAAGCCAAGTTACTTTTTTTGCCCAGCAGGGCTCGTGCAGTCTTCGCAAGAGGAGGTTGCAGGGCCCCTCGGGGATGAGCTCGGCGCGGGACGGGAGGGGGCGTGCCGAGCAGTCCAGAGTGCGGGGGAGGGGAGGCGCCGGGCGCGTCAATGTCACGGCTCAATTTTATACCTATACCGTCGTTCTCGCTGCCCTCCCCGACTCCAGGGCCTGGACGTGCGGGGAGCGGGGCGTCTTGGGGGCGTTCGGAAGCTGGTGTGAAGGCGCCCGGGGTTCACCCTTCTGGGGCAGCGTACTGGGGTTGGGGCTCTCAGGACCCTGTAACCCGATGCTGGGAGTGTGCGAGTAGGGGTGGTCAGACATCTGCTCGGAAATTGCTTCCTTTCTTTCTACTTTCAGCTTTTCTATCGAGAGATATTTAAAAGGACCTCGTACACACAAATGGTCTTTGGGGTATGGCAATCTTAGTGGGAGACAGAATTCGGACTGCCTCCGACTCGAAGGACCTCCCTGGGGAGGACAGACCATCTGGTAGGGGAGGGCTGGGGCTACTAGGGGTGGGAGAGCCAGGGGCCCTGGCAGGGGAGGAGTGTCGTGCTCCCCTCAACCCCCTGAGATCCCAAGGCTGTTGGGAAGGGAAGTCCGTCACACTTTCGCTCGTCCTGTCCTGAAAGAGTAATTTCGGGACTTAGAAAGCTAACCGGGACTGGTCTTTAAGTTTTCAGTTGACTTCAACCCTGCAAACGGGTTGTAGTAACCACCCTTACGACGGTGGGGGTGGAGGATTAACGTAGGAGTCCCGGGTGTGGGAAGAGGCTGCCCCTGGGTTAAGACGGCACAACCACCGCCCGGTGTCCCTAGCGCCTGGAGGTCGGTAGCTGAAAAGGTCGCTCGGCTCCCCAGGGGCTGGAGGCCGGATCCCACGCGCAACCGGTCGGGCCTCCCCTCCCCGTTCAGTTCTTAGGAAGACCGAGCGCGCTTTCCCGTCCCACGGTGGTCTCACCTAGGCTGGACCTTGGCCCACGACAGCCGCGGAACCCTCGACCAGCATTTACCTGCCCCGCACCCCTCCTCCCCCGCTCGCCCTTATGCCTGGAATTAAACAACACATGGCGGGACCCCCACGGGATGCGGGCGTAGCACAGCGCAGCCAGGGCGGACTCTCCAGGCTCCCTTGAGGGAGTTCCTGAAAAGCTGCGGAAGGAACCCCCAGACCTCGCCCGGGGGTCCGCACCAGGGCGAGGGCCACACAGGTAGCGGGAGCTGCGGCCTCGGGCCCGCCCTCCCCCTCCGGCCCCATCCAGCCCAGGCTCCCGGAGGCGGCCGCTGTCCCACCCCCGCGGGCCTGCACCCCCCGGACGCGAGCGGCGGTGCTAAACCCCATCCCCCTCCTCCACTTTTTTGTTGTTGTTGTTGCTTTCCCACGCTGGCTGAATGTGACTTGACCCCATTTCAAAAAAGTTTGACATAGTGCTTCAACATTTCCGCATTCCTCCGCGACTACAAAGGCAGCAGCCGCCTCCTTCTGCTTTCCGTCTCTGCTCTCTGTCCTCACACTCAATGAAATCCTTCATGAGCCTCTCACGAAGGCTTGCCAAACGCTACAAGGGTCGCCGTCAGCGCAGCGAGGGGAGGCCGCCCACGGGACCGCGACTCGCGCGTGTGCGCATACGCAGATGCGCCCGCGCAGATACGCCCACGTGCACGGAGACTAGTGCGCCGCCAAGCACCGAGCTACTCTTGGCCAGGGTTGCACTTGAACTGCAAATCTTTAAATAAGAAAAGTAAACTTGGGACACTAAGCAAGCGTGCGTGCTCGCGGGGGTTTCAACCCTGGTGGGCTGCGTGCACGCCTCCGTGCATAATACGCTTGCGGGGTCGCCAGCAGGAAGCCGACGTGAACGTTTATGTCTTAGTGGGGAAGATGGAGCCTGTACCCACACCTCGGGAGCCTTCAGAGGGAGCTTGCTCAGGGGAAATAAACGTGGGGCGTGGAATCCCACCAGATGGTGCATTTTCAGCCGTAAATCTGACTGTCCAAGTAGAGTTCCTCTGGAGTTCCATGAGAATTGAACGTATGGGTGGGTGCTTGTGCACACGAATCTGTTCAAGTTGGCACAGGACCCTGGCTGTCGGAGTGTCCCTGGTGTGGAAGGTCCCTCTTGAGACCTCTAGCTCTCCCAGCTGACCCCCATAACCTACCCAGTCTCGGCGCTAAGGGGTTAAAAACCCACGCGAATTCCGAGGGGGTCACACAGCCCCTCACCCTCATCACCCTCACCCACCCACGTCCTCTCCGGGGACCCGAACCACTCAACCCACCCACGCGAGCCCGTGGCTCCTTACCTGTGGGCCTGGGGGACTGGCCTCCCGAGAAGCTGGGGTGTCCGTCGGCCCCCGCACGTGCTCGCCGCGCGGAGCAGGTAACTGCGGCCACGGCGAGCAGCGCTCTGCGGGCAGGGGGTGGGCAGAGCGGCGGTGGGCGGAGGGA